CGTATATTAAGCACATGCAGTTTAGCTATTTTTGGCTGTAAGTGTTTGTGTGAGATAACAATCAGAAAGTCGTTGAATAGGGGGGTTATGTTCCAAGTGGTATAGACGGCTTAGCCGAGTTACTGGGATGGTTGTTAAATGGATACCAAGTGATTATATTTAGTTAGCTAAGTGGCATAACCAGGTAATTTTTTGAGTACTTAGGCCACTTATCTGTAAGTCCGGTAAGTCCACTTAGTTGATTTAGGATGAACACCAAATTCAAGAAAAAAACATAATTTTCATTGTGATAGGCTACACCCATAAAAATTCAAAACCTCTGGAGCTGGGTATAGGACATAGATTTTTTCAGGAATATGAGGCAACCTAGTGGTAGCGGGGAATTTGTTGTATAGGTCACTGTGTAGGAAGGGTATGTTAAATTTGTTGTAAAACCCCATCAAGTAAGATATTGGTAGCGCTATATACTCCTTTCATACAAAGCTCCCAGCGCCCTGCGGCCGGCTTGCCGGCTGCCCGCCGCGGCTCTGCTGAGCAGGCGGGCCACTCTCCATGGGCCCAGGGTTTCTAGGTTTTAAAGGGTTTATATAGGCGAGTATAGGGTCTTATGAAAACAAAGGAAATATAATTGTGTTATAAGTGTTCTTTTCTGTGGGCCCTTTACAATTATTGGATTCAGGTTGTATACCATTGGAAGGCGTATGTGTAGAGTATAGGTGTCGTATATAGGGGCCTGACAGAGAATACTTATATATAAGCTGCGGTTTATTTGTGGTTTGTACACTGGGCAAAAAAAGTCGTGAAGGTTTTATGAGCTTCTGTTTGCCTTGCTCTGTAAATTTCTGTAGTTGGGTATATAGCATATATATAGGCATATAGGGTTATATATATATATCCCCATATATGACTGTAATGGGAAGCTATAGGGGGAACTGAGGATATTGTTTATTCACTATTGAATTATTATTGCAGACGCTGACATTGCAGGACTCCGCTCGCAAGTCGTTTCCTGCAGGGCTTGGCTCGCAGGAAAATCAAGAATAAGCTGGTGCGTGCCATGTCGGCAATCAGCAGAGAAGATGCGGAGGTCATCTCGGGTTTCTTGAAGAAAGCTTCGGAGTCGACGCTTGTGCAGTCGATGTCCCGGCTACAGGACTTCT